CCCTACACAATTCAATGCAGAATAATATCACTTACTGGTTTCCAAAAAGCTTTTCCAGTTACACAAAATCTCTTAACATCTTAATTATTTTTGAACTGGAAAAAAAATATTCATTGTCGTTGCACTGCCTGGTGGAAGGCAAATCCCAGCACATGGAGATAGCTGCATTCTTATGCTGAACCCTCCACAAACTGAGGGGGGCTAGGAGCACATACATATATGGTGATGGATAAACTAACTTGCAGATTTCATACAGAGTAAGTCCAGGATTCCACAGGATGGGATTAATTTCCTTGAATGTAGATACTTTGTGCCATTTCAGATGGCTATCTTACTTAGCCTCCAGCTGCTGCCTTGGAAGGGCATGGGTTCACTAGAGGCAACTTCTTGCATGTACCACTTCCATGCAGATGTCTGATGCCCGATGCTGTGTAAAAGGGCCTGTGTTTAGGCTACTGAATCAGACTCTGCAGTAGCCTTTTAGCTCAGTTGTAGTCAAACTAGTTGATTTAAGACAAAAACATACTCTGTCCATATCAATAGCAAGTCAGGAACAGGCTTGGTGATGAATTTTTTAAACAAAAGCATTATTGGCACAGTCCAAACTGTCAAATGTGCAGGATTTTCAGTATAGGTTTTGTAGTTTCAGTGCAGCTAAGCAGCTTGCATTTCTCTTGGAGCACAGGCAGAACAACCTCCATACTGCAGTGCCTCACTGTAACAGAATATAGAATACTTTTTATAACTTTTGAACTTGTTCACTTCTGCCTTGCAAAGGCAAGTGCAAGTGCACCTAATAAAAGACGACAACACTGTGGTATCTGTTTTGAAGTGGTCAGGTTATATTGGTGCAGAATCTTCTGTCTGCACTTTTGCTTGCACTGGAATCAGCTCCTGAGCATCTAAATCACATTCATTCACCTACTCTATTTTTAACAGTACGTACTTAGGGAATCCAGAAAAAGTACCTTTTAATGTCTGAGATGTCACTTTAATCCTCTCAGATATACAGAACATTAAACGAATTTCTATTTCCCTAAAATGAAAGGCTTAAGATTTCACACACAGGAAGCAAAATCAAAATGTTTTCCTATTTTAAACAGAGCTACTCCCTGCATAAGGCAGATCAACCTAGAAGATCCATATCTTGATTATTCTTATGGCTAAGTGTTCCCAGAAAATAAGCTTATATACACATAAGATATAAAGATTTCCTTTAGGCCTGAGAAAGAATTATGTGCCAGACTCAGATAGCTTATGCATAACATGTCTATGGGGACAAGGGATGTACAGTCTGTATCCCCTCACATGTGCATCCTGAGCCCAGTCCGTAGGGAAAGCTGAGGGAGTCATCATGATCCCACTGGTAATATCCATGCCCAAGCCTGCTGCAGCCCAGAAGATACCCACATGGCAGCTCTGGCAGTGCATGTTTCCCTAGCAACTCTTGCACTTGGGGCCCTGCACTCAAAATGTGTCCAGCCACTGCAGTGACTTCCTTCTGCCTGCCCACTGGGGCAGGTATGCTTTAAAAGTCTGTAGGTTTTAATTTGGAAAATTATTTTGATTAACTGGGTCTGCATTTCATGTTCATTTTAGAAAAGCAATCCCAAAGAGGATACAAAGGACAGCTCATTGGATGACTCATTGTAGGCTTTGCTGAAATGTTTATTCAACAACTGAACAAATAAGCAGTTGTAATTTGGTCTTCCCAGCTTCCTGGCCCACACGTCTTCACCCTGCCATTGGAAGAACTCAGCAGTGATAGAAAAGTGTGCAGCAGGATGGAAAAATGCTCAAGACACTAATGAAATTTTCACGTTAGGACAGGATGCCCAGCTGTGACAGAGAAAGAAAAAATTGGAATGACTTAAACCCCAATGGTACCAATAAGGAAATATGAGAAGTTTTAGGGTTGTTTGGTTTTGGGTTTTTTTGAGAATTTCCACAAGGTTCTGCAAGACCGAACTCAGCATAAGATCCTGGCTTTACACCAGGCCTATACAGAGGATCTTGTTCCTAATGACAGAGAGATTCACTCACTCTTCAGGGTTCTCTGATTTGGGACAAATGCCCTCATTCTCAGCAAGACCGACTAAATTCAGATACACTGTACCAAGGTCATTTTCTGGGACACAGCTCAGCACGGCTGGAAACAGAAGGATGCTGACCTGAAATTTACTAAAGAAGTAAACTAGACTGCCCCTGCCTAGCAGCAGTCAGAGGGTCCAAGTCAGACTCTGGGTTGGCCTGAAAGATGCTCTCAATTTCCTTCTGCAAGCTGTTTCTCTTCCTTTCTGCATGCACCCACTCCATGCCTGCAAGGTGGCTCCAACCTCATTTTCTGGTACCCACAGCTGCTTTGCCTGTTTTCTGGGTACTGAAACACCAGTGTGCTGGAGAGATTTTTGCCAAAGGGCAGGAAAGAGGGTGGAGTTGAATCAGGCTGAGCTGGCTGCTGTTTCAGAGAAGGAGAAACAGGGCTAAAATCTGCAGCTATGCAGAAAGGGATTTTATTTATTTATTTTTTTTTAAAGTGAGTTAAAAACAAAACAAAATAAAACACAAAAAAAAATGAAGGAAAATAATGAGACTGGATAGATCTCGGTGCCAAAAACAGGTGAGCTGGCTTCATTCTTCTGTGGCATGGGGAGAGAGGGTATCTGGTGCTCTAAAGGCCTTGCAGCAGACACAGTCTGCTCTCTGAATTGAATTTGGCAGACAAGTGAAAGAGGGAGGCTGCATAGACATCTCTGTTGCTTCAACATCTGTTCCTTGTCTCCTTCAGAAAGGGGAGCAGGGTGAATCAGAGAGTAATACCTGACAGGACAGATTAGCTAGCAAGTGGCTTGTTAAATCACGCTGCAGCAAAAGAAACCCAAGAACAGTCCAGGATCTCCAATATCTTATGGCAGGTTTAACCCCTACATGCTATGAAAAAGCAAGATACAGTTTGACTAGATTATTTACATGTGGCATCAGAGTAGATAATTAATTTCCACGTGCTGTCTGGTATTTATTACACAAAAGCTGTGCCAACCAGCACACACACAGAGTACTCTTTACTTAAGGTGTTTTGAATTCAGAGACACACCAGGAAAGTGAAGTGCTTTAGGGTTTTAAGGGTGAGTGCTGAGATACTGTCATTGTCAGTCTTCAGTAATCTTGACTAAAGAAGTGCATATGCTTTGTTGTGAAGGTATGTTTCATGCTTGTTTTCTGTTTCCCTAAACTGGAGGCAGGATGAGTCATAGACATGAAAGTTAGTACAAGACTGTTCTTCATTACAGTAATAATTGTTTTAAAGTGCGTCTCCACAGACCTTCATATCAAAGATCAGCACACAAACACATCTCTTCACCACTGCACAGCTTCCATGTCTCAGGTTGCCATAAGTCTTGATTTTCATTAGACATCCTGCAGCCCTCCCTAGCTGAACTTTGCATTCCATTGTGCTGTGGAG